TCTCTCTCTCTCTCTCTCTCTCTCTCTCTCTCTCTCTCTCTCTCTCTCTCTCTCTCTCTCTCTCTCTTCGTCTTACCACCGCCTTCGACGACTCTCTCTCTTTTTTATTCACGTTCTCTCTCTCTCTCTCTCTGTCCTTCTCCGTCTTTTTACTCTCTCTCTCTCCGTCTTACTTATATCTCTTATATCTACGGACATTGAGTTGAGGGTAAGAAGAGAGAAAGAGACAGACACAGACAACTGTAGTTCTGTCTTCTGGGGTTAAAAATTTTTGATATGTATCTCGTTTAGTCACGAAAATGATGATAAGATTATTATTAATCGACTACATGTATCTCGTGTAACGAGTGCGTATATACAGTGCATTTTGATGTGTCTTTTCTCTCTCTCTCTCTTTGACAGGCTTGATTTATTGTACTAATAAGAAAATTGATTTACACAGACAAATCGCGAATGTGTGTACGATATATAACATGTGAACGCCTGAGTAAAGTCAAAAGACTCGTGAATAATAGAGTTAATTTGGCTAATTCGCGGACTATATTGGTTTTCGTGTTTGTTTTGTTTTCTCTTTTAAAAGATGGCACTGTGCGACAAACGTGTTTCCTCCGATCTTCAATCTCAATTCCTCGTTTAATCTTTACTATTTCCTTCCTTTTTTTTCGTTTGCCGTGTTTCGTTCGCTCTTTTGAACTCGCGACTTCGCGCAGCGCAGCTGCCTCCGCGCGCGCGCACTTCCTTGCCAGACGTCGCGCGTCGTCGCTTTTTCTCGCCGCCAGCCTTCTCTCATTGTCATCGCTACGTAGCCGCGAAACAGCCGGCGAATCACGCGCATGCATTAAGATTGGTCGTAGAAACGCGCGCCGTCGCAATTGGCTACCAACATTGCTTAAGTCTCGTTCTTATCCCAACAAAAGCACTTTCATGAGCAACCGACAAAGGAAACAAATCTGTTTGTTTCAGCTGCACTCTATGAGTCTTTATCTTTTTATCTTTCTCTTCAAAAAAAAACAAAGAGAAGGTAATATGTACTAACAAAGAAAGCAGTTACTTTGTTAACTTTAATCAGAGTTAAATTATTGTAACATGCTTAACATATATATCGGATAGTTTATATATATATATACATATACATATATACACATGTATACACATAGGGTGTCCGACAATTGGTGTAACATCTCTTGTAGTCAAGTAGAAGGAGTAAACCTGAGTCGAAAAGTCCTATACCATTTTGTGAAATTCGCAATAATTACCGAGATCTTACCCGGTAAAAAATTTTTCATGTATAAAATTGTATGGACATATTCGGTATATATATATATAAATTTGCATAATTAGATATAATAATTTTAATTTGTATATAAGTATATATGATTATATATCAAAACTTTTTTAAAAATATAGTAAAAATATAGTTTTATATAATTTTTTGTATCTAACATGATACTAATAGAGTTATTTTGTAATTTGATATGGAATATCTCTGAAGTCATTCTCTTAAAAAAGAAATTCTCCGTGTATAAAATTGTATGGACATATTCGGCACACATATAAATTTGCATAATTAGATATAATTATTTTAATTTGTGTATAAGTATATATAAAAAATTTTTTACCGGGTAATTAACAAAGATGCGATAAGCATGCATTGGGCTGTTTTACGCGCGTAAGACAGCTCGGCGCGGTTGCATATTATGTTATGGTGTATACTGATATATTAATTTTTCGCATACGTTGCTACAAGTAACATCGTGAACGCGCGAAAAGTGCGCCGGGCTGTCTTATGCGCGTAAAACAGCCCGATGCATGTTTATATTCGCCGATTTTTATTAATTAAGATCTCGATAATTATTGCGAATCTCGCAAAATGATATAGGACGTTTCGGACTCCTTTTACTTGCTACGAGACATGTTACCAATGTTGAGATACAGAATTCACACAAGTAGTAGAGGAAGAATTTCACGAAGTAGAATGGGGGATTGCCTAGCAACCGACACCACGTGATGACGCGCTGCGCGAGCACGCTCTGACGCGACGTCGCATAACCATAACTTGTTTATAACTTTCACAATAATCATATTCAATATATATACTTAACGCTTTAGAAATATATATTAATGAAATGTAAAAAATCCGACCGAACAACTTCCACGTGGTATAACTTGGATGATGCTAATGTCGGCGGTACTGTAAATTTTAAGCCTTATAACTCAAAAAGTATTTATTAGAAAAGAATTTCATTATAGTGTTTTGGAAAGCTCTCGAAATAAGCTACCAAAATGTGTAATGAGATATATGTGTAGATCTATTTAAGAAATTGATGATCTTTACGCGACTTTCAACCAACTCTTCAAAGTCAAATCAATGGCACCATGTTATGTCCCCTTTCAAATAATACAACTTTTGTCTGAAACATGTTTCTCTAAAATGCACTGTTCAAAAAATATTTTAGGCCGTTATTTAAAATGAAACACTGTATATATATATACACATATATATACATATATATACATAATAGAATATATATATATATATATATATATATTCTATTATGTATTTGATTATACATATTCCGAGACTATTTCTACAAACAATATTATCTTTTGATATTAAGACGATATTATAAAATTTATCTCGGACTGTAAATTTTGTTGAACCATTATCATTTGTACCACAACAGCCCTTGTCGTCTTCTCTTACAGTGCCGAAATCCGATAGTGAGTATTTACGCGCATTGCGCGTTTCATGTTATGTAAATTGCTCGAGATATGCAGATCGGCGCAAGTATTATTATTGCTTCATGCAGCATAATGAACGTTAATTGCCAGACAACGTCGCGCTTGATCCGCGTGGCTTAATGTTCAACTCAGAGATGCGACGTTTTGTGATAATGGAATTCCTGTTTGCATCTGTTGCAAATAATATCACTAAACTTTGATATAATATATTAAAATAGACTTTTTTACAGTAAAACACGGTATAATTTGAGATCAATTTTATATTAACCCTTTGTAGTCAGACGTTAGTCTCCCAGATCCATTCAGAAATTGCGTTTCGGTGTTTCCAAAAAACTTAGTTTCTTTTAAACACTTATATCTTCAAAACTATTAGAAATTTTTGTTCAATTTGTTTTTTTTTTTTTATTGACGCAGAAGCGTTCAAACGTTTGATTCAAAAACACAAAACTGAAAAA